AAAAAAAAAAAACATGGTCTGGCCAAGTTGCTGAAGTTTTCAAAAAGTTGCCCAGGCTGGCCTTCAACTTTCCAGGCAATTGTTCTACCACTGAACCACATTTCCATGGCCTCAAACTTGCAATCCTCCTGCCTTGGCCTCCCGAGGAGGAGATGGGATAATAGATGTGCATCACCACACCCTATTTCAGTTATTTCAGTAGATACTGGGGAGTGGAATGTTGGGTTAGTGGGAATTCTGTTTAGCATGTAGAGGAACCACCAAATTGTTTTCCAAAGTAGCTGCAACGTTTCACATTCCCCCAGCCCTGCACAGGCTTCTGATTCCTGCACGTCCTTGTCAATGTGCGTCATTTTCTATTTTTTTGGATGCCCATGTACTTTTCATGTACTACTTTACCTTCTTTCTTAGCACCTTAGCTCTGAAGTCACCCTTTCTTTGAAACCTCTTCTGAACTGTCCAAATATGAGGTCTCCTCTGCTCACCTTGACCCACCCCTGACTCGGGAGTTCCTGAAGGTTGGTATTTTGTAACTTCCTTATTCATATTTCTGTTTCCAGCACCTAAGGCAGGCAATACTGAAAATATTCAGTAGACACTGGGAAGGCACGGATGGGTGACACAGTACCCCACATGGCTCAGAGTGACATGACTTCCTTTTCTGCATCCGCCTCTGCCCATGGAGGTATTTATAGGCAAGGGAATGTGGGAGTAGAAAGAATTCTGTGCATAGGAGAGCTGAACAGAGAAAAACTGCGGGGGCATCCTTGGATGTTTTTCCTTTGTTCACCTCTGAGGTGGGGATATACATGCTGGAGAGGACCTTGGATTTCAGAGACAAAAGTGATGTGGGCATTGACTTCTTGGGGGACAGGCATGAATGACAGTATATCAGGATTAGATTGAGCTGCCAAAAAAGTAGCAGAGTTCCACAGTAATATTGGTTTAAATTCATCCAAGTCCAAGACAGGGCAGGCACAGTTGGGCACACCTGTAATCTCAGCAACTCAAGAAACTGAGGCAGGAGGATCGCAAGTTTGAAGTCAGCTTCAGCAACTTAGCAAGGCCCTAACCAATTAAGCAAGACCCTGTCTCGAAATAAAAAAGAAAAAGGATGAGACTCAGTGGTTAAGCACCCCTGGGTTAAACCCTCAGTACTCTGGTACCCCCACTCCCCTGCCAAAAAGAGTTGTTAGCTGTCCAAAGCAGCAGGAGCTCCAGAGGGAGGAAGGATGGAAATATCACCTGATAGAGGTCTGAGAGAAACCCCCGAAGGCAGAAGAAGGACCTCAGCCCAGTCCTGGTAGGTTCTTAAGCCGCCGAAAGAAATTTCAGGACATGTCAAAAAAGGCACAAATATTTATTCAAGAAAGTAGGGAAATTTATTCAGGAAAGCAAACAATAGAGCAGAATATGTACTTCAAGAGAGAAGGAGTGCAGGGGCTAAAGCATGGTGTGCTTGTGGCTCTCAGACTCTTATTTATGTATTTGTTGTGCTATCAGAGATTGAACCCAGGGACGCTTAACCACTGAGCCACATCCTCAGCCCTTTTATTTTTTATTTTGAGATGGGGTCTCCGTAAGTTGCTTAGGGTCTCATTAAATTGCTGAGGCTGGCCTTGGACTTGGCAACCCTCCTGCTATAGCCTCCCAAATGGCTGGGATTACAGGTGAGCAACACCATGCTTGGCTAGACTCTTATTTATTTATTTTGGTACCAGGGATTGAATTCAGGGGCATTTGCACTGAGCCACATCCTCAGCCCTATTTTGTATTTTCTATTTAGAGACAGGGTCTCACTGAGTTGTTTAGACGGGGTCTAACCGAGTTGTTTAGCACCTTGCCATTGCTGAGGTTGGCTTTGAACTCGTGATCCTCCTGCCTCAGGCTCCCAAATTTCTGGGGCTACTGTGCATGGCTAGGCTCTTTTCTTCTTCTTACTTTCAATATTTTTCATTGTTGTAGATGGACAGAATGTCTTTCTTATTCTTTGTGCTGGGTATTGAACCCAGGGCCTTGTGCATATGAGACAAGCACTCTACCAAGTGAGCTCTATCCCCAGCCCTAGGCTCTTCTTTTAAAGAAAATTTGGTAAATCGTGAATCCTGAACCTGAGTGGGAAGGAAGGTGATATCAACCTGGTGAACTCAGTTTTCTTAGTCATGAAGCTTAGGGTGGGTCACAATGACCTGGTTGTCATCTTTCAGATCTCTAGGTTGATGTCATCCAGTCAATGGATAACTTTGGAATATGCCCATCAATATCTAATGGTATTTTTCCCTTGGCTTTTCTTTAAAAAAATTTTTTTTTCTAGTATATGGACACAGTGCCTTTATTTTATTTTTATATGGTGCCAAGGATTGAACCTAGTGCCTCACATGTGCCAGGAAAGTGCTCTGCCAACTGAGCCAAAATCTCAGCCCTCCCTTGGCTTTTTTAGTCTAAAGAAAATAGGTTGTATAAGCCAGAAATGTGTGCAGTCATTAACCACCTAGAGGCACCAGACTCAGATTCAAGGGCTCTTTAAAGACTTTCTGTCTGGTGGGAAACAGGCCTGGGGAGAAGACAAAGGTGGTCGTGGAGCTTCTTAGATTTACGATTAGTTTCTCTTCCCTCCCTATTAGTCTTTTCTACCCATTCTTTCTTTTTTTTGGGGGGGTGGTACTGGGGCTTGAACTCAGGGGCACTCAGCCACTGAGCCACATCCCCAGCACTATTTCGTATTTCATTTAGAGACAGGGTCTCCCTGAGCTGCTCAGCTGACTTGGAACTCTCAATCCTGTCTCAGCCTCCGAGCCACTTGGATTGCAGGCGTGCTCCACCGCACCTGGCTCCTTTCTACCCATTCTTATTTCTCCTATCCTACCTCTTTCAAGAGAAAGAATGGGGGATTTTTATCCAGAGATACTAGATAAGATGTATGTATGTATGTATATAGCAGTACTGGGGAGTGAACCCAGAGCACTCTACCATAGAGCTATATCCCCAATCCTTTTTAAAATTTTTATTTCTTTTTAAAATTTTATTTTGATACAGGGTCTTGCTAAATTGCCAAACTTGCCCTGAATTTATGTGGTGAAGCATGACTGTAATCCCAGCGACTCAGAAGACTGAGGCTGGAGGATTTACAAATTTGAGGCCAGCAATTTAGCAAGGCCCTAAGCAACTTGATAAAACCCTGTCTCAAAGTAAAAAATAAAAGACTGGGGTTGTAGCTCAGTGGTAAAGCACCCTTGGGTTCAATCCCAGTACCAAAAAAAAAAAAAAAAAAAATTTAATGATGAAGCCCTAATACCCAATGAGATTGTATTAGGAGGTGGGACCTTTGAGTGTTAAATGGGGTTAGATGAGATCATGATGGTGGGGACTTCATAATGAGATAAGTGCACTCATTAGAAGAGGAAGAGTGCCTTCATTTCCTCTTCCTCTCCCTCACCTCTGCTCTCTGCTATGTGAGGACATGATAAGAAAGCAGCTATGTGCAAGCCAGGAAGAGAGCCCTCACCAAGAACTGAGTCTTGCCTGGCACAATGTTACACAGTTGTCATCCCAAGGACATGGAAGATGTAGAGAGGAGGATCACAAATTTGAGATCCACCTCAGCAACTGAGCAAGGCCCTAAGGACTTAGAATAACCTGGATTCCAAAAACCAAACAAACAAATAAATGAAATAAAAGGAAAGGAAAAGAAAAAGAACTGGGTCTACTGACACCTTGACCTTGGACTTCCCAGCCTCCAGAACTGAGAGGAATAAACATCAGTCAGAGAGTGTTGGCAAAAGACTCATAGCCCTTCCTCCAAAAAAAAAAAAAAAAAAGTTTTGTCTGTACTGTGGATTGCACCCAGGGGTGCTCTCTCACTGAGCCACATTCCCACTCCTTTTAATTTTTTGAGACAGGATCTCACTAAGTTGCTGAGGCTGGCTTTGAATTTGCAATCCTCCTGTCTCAGCCCCCTGAGTTGCTGGGATTTTGGTTGTGTACTACTGTGTCAAGCTAAAAAAATGCTTTAAATTTTGTTCAAGTAAGACTTTTTTGACAGATTTAAATAGATTTACTTATAGGAATAAGCAGTCATCCACACTGAGACAAAGTGCTGTCTCTTAGCAGCAGTTATTCACTCCCTTAATGACATCTTGGTGGTACAAGAAGGGCTACAAGCAGTGGAGAGCTGGGTGTGGTGGCACATGCCTGTAATTCTATCTGCTCAGGAGCCTGAGACAGGAGGATCATGAGTTCAAAGCCAGCTTCAGTAATGGCGGGGTGCTAAGCAACTTAGTGAGACCCTGTCTCTAAATAAAATACAAAATAGGACTGAGGATGTGGCTCAGTGTTTGAGTGCCTCTGAGTTCAATCCCCAGTACTGCTGCCCCCTCCCCCCAATAAATACAAGCAGTAGAGAAAGCTTCCTGGAGCTCATCTAGTTGAAGAGCTTAAACATGATGTTTACTTACAATTTTGTCTATGTGAGATCAACCACCAAACCAGTACAGTCAGATGATTTAGCCGGGGAGTAAGAAATCAATACCCAGGGGCTAGGGATTGGCTCAAGTGGTAGCACGCTCGCCTGGCATGCGTGCGGCCCGGGTTCGATCCTCAGCACCACATACAAACAAAGATGTTGTGCCCGCCGAAAACTTAAAAAAAAAAAAAAATAAATGTTAAAAAAAAAAAAAAAGAAAAAAAAGAAATCAATACCCTTCCACACACAGAAAACAGCCAGCCAGACAACAGGATGTGAGAGAAGTTCTGATTTAAAACATCAACAAAGAAGACTACATATCTGGGAACAAACATCACAAAAGACAAGCCAAAGGTTTATGAGGAAGACTTTGAGACGTTCCCAAAGGACAGGAGACCAGGAAGACCTGCTGGGTTCCTGGACAGGGAGACTCAACATCATTCGGACGTCACTTCTTTTGAAGGGAGTTTACAAAGTGAACAGGATCCAAACAAAAACACCAAGGGTTTCTTTCTCTCTTTTTTTTTTTTTTTTTTTTTTTGGAACAAGACAAAGTTTACATTGAAAACCTAAACAAGCAAATAGAGCCAGGAAAATCTAGGAGAAGGAGGAACGAGGAGGAAAGAATGGGAGATCCAAACCTGTTGCCTTGGGACTTAGCACAGCTGCCCACACTGGCCAGGAACAGAGGGACAGAGGGACAGAACGGAAGGCCCTGGATCAGGACCCTGACGTACACTCCCAGGCCTGGTTTAGCTTTTAGACTTTTGAAGGCAGGGGATGGAATGTTGAAGGCCCTGGTCACACAGCCAAGAATAAAGCCCTAGGTCTAGGCCTCCCCTCTCCTGTTCCTGTGGGCCTGGAGTCTGGACTTTGTCCTCTCCACTCTCTGGGGAAGACACAGGGCGGAGGGGGAAGACAGGAAGAGGCTCTTGCCTGGGCAGTGATGGCACCAGTGTTTCCTGGAGCCTGGGCTTCTGGGTACTGCCTGCTCCTGGTTTGCCTCCTGCCCCGCCTCCTGCCTCCAGCTCCGTTGTGGCTTCCTGCTTCCTCGGGAACAGTGCTTCCTCATGGATTGAGGAGCAGGAGGCCTTGCCATGGCCTTGACCTCAGGGTGACACACATGCGGACCAGCCCTGAGGTGGAGCACCTGCTCAGCTTTCTCCTGGCCTTCAGGTGAATGCACCTCCCTGCTTCCCAGGCACATCCTCAGGCACAAGTTCACCTTTCTTCTCCTCCTGCCCCCAGGCTCCTCCTTGAGGTCCCCCAGGTCTACAACAGCAGCCACAGTTCCACTGCCCAAGCAAGGAGCCCTCTAGTCATCATGACCGGCCTCTCCCACAGGACACTGCATTGTCTCCACAGGGCTCCTTCCCCACTGTTTGCTGGACAGGATCCTGTGTGCTCCTCTGCTCAAAACTCTTTCAATGTTCTAATATTGATTGTGGTCATGATTGCATAACTAAAAATTACTAAGAACCATTGAATGGCTCACTTTAAACAAGTGACTTGTATGTTATGTTAGTTGTATCTGAATAAAGCTGTTCTCTTTTTTTTGTTGTTGTTTTTTGGTACTGGGGATTGAATCCAGGGACACTGAGCCACAAACCCAGCCCTTTTGATGTGTATATATATTTTATGTATGTATGTGTGTGTGTGTGTGTATGTATATATAATATATATATCTTTATTTTATTTGTTTATTTATATGTGGTGCTGAGGATCTAACCCAGGGCCTTACATGTGCAAGGCAAGCACTCTACCACTGAGCCACAATCCAGTGTCTTATATTTTATTTTGAGACAGGATCTCACTAAGCTACTTAGAACCTTGCTAAATTGCTGAGGCTGGCTGGGCACAGTGACACACATCTGTAATCCTGGCAGCTTGGGGGGGCTGAGGGAGGAGGATCACGAGTTCAAAGCCAGCCTCAGCAATAGTGAGGCCCTAAGCAACTCAGTGAGACCTTGTCTCTAAATAAAATACAAAATAGAGCTGGGATGTGGCTCAGTGGTTGAGTGCCCTTAAATTCAATCCCTAGTACCCCCCACCAAAAATAAATAAATACATAAATAAATTGCTGAGGCTGGCTTTGAACTCATGATCCTCTTGCTTCAGCCTCCTGTGTTACTGGGATTATAGCCCTGTGCCACCAGGCTAAAGCTGGTTTTTTTTTTTTTTTTTTTCATCTTCCTGCAAATCCAAGTTTAAAAGAAAACTTGTATACAGAATCCAACATAGCAAATACACAGAGGGTAAAATTAAATAAAGCACTGTGTCCTAATTAAGAGTAAAGTTTACAAACATGTTCTGAGATGGGAAGGAATATATAATGAGACTAGAAAATAAACAAAACCTGGGAAGAATTTCCTAACATTTACTGTAAAGTTTACCATAAGACTTTCATGTTCCACCCTGATCTTAAACACTTCCCAACACATAAAGTTCCTACCCTGCTGATTATTTTCTGGAATCATGTTATTTTGTTATGGATTGCCATGTTAAAATGAGGAAGACTACATTCAAGCAGTAAGAAAGGAACCTAAGATCACAGTGAAAACAAAAATGGTTCATAGCTAGGTGTCAAATAAGACCCAGGAGTCAATATAAATCACAGGATGTAATTATGCAGGTAGCTTCCAAACCCAGTTCACAATGACTTATTGTGCACCTAAAATGGTGATACAGGATTGAACAGAAGTTGCATTAGCAGATAGTAAAGCAAAGAATTTGTAAGCAAAGGAGGCAATTCAAGAGGTATAAATAGTTATAGTGTCTAAGAAGAAAAAATGGGAAGAAATTAAAAGGCAAGCATAGAAGTAAATTCTGAGACGTATCTCCTGCTCATGTATGCTTACAATTAGGGCATAAACAAAATCCATGACCTAGCCAGCCTAGCATCAGCAGGTAAGAGAGAGAAGCCCGTGACTGCAGTTTAAGGCTAGGCACATTTCCACATTCTGATGCATTAAGAGGCTAGGCAAATTTGCTGAAATCATCTTCAGCAGTCTCATACCTCAGAAATGATTTTTATGATTTTTCCATCCTTGAGGGGGTTTAGCATACTGAGGTGTTTCTTCAGGTGTGTGTGTGAATGAATATAGTACCAATTTTTTTCTGCTATCTGTATTGTGGTGCAAAACCTGACTCAAACTGTGTGTGTGTGTGTGTGGGGTGGGGGTACTTAATGACTTATTGAACAACTAAAGATAGAAGCTTTGCCTCTCAAACAGGGATGAGCCCTTTCATGAAGAAAACTCGATTTTCATTTTCAGATTCCTGGGATGGTGAGGGGGACTTGGGGGCTGTAAAGTCCCAGCAGAATGCAGGTGCAGGTCTGAATTGGTCCCTGAGGACATCTGGGGCTGCCGTTGTTATCTGTGTCTTGTCTCTTTTTTTTGGTATTGAGGATTGAACTCAGGGGCACTCGAATACTAAGCCACATCCCAGCCCTGTTTTGGATTTTATTTAGAGACAAGGTCTCACTGAGTTGCACAGGGCCTCGTATTGCTGAGGCTGGCTTTGAACTCCCGATTCTCGTGTCTCATGAGTCCCTGGGATTACAGGTGTGCACCACCGAGCCTGGCTATCTGTCTTTTATCAGGTTGAATATAAACCTTAGAGTGCTCACTTGGAGATGCAAAAAGGATTTGGGAATATGTTATGGTAGTAACAAATAGTTTTGAAACTTTAAGCAAAACTTCAAGGTCTAGGGCTGGGTTTGTGGCTCAGTGGCAGAGCGCTTGCCCACATGTGTGAGGCACTGGGTTTGATTCTCAGAACTGCATATAAATAAATAAACAAAACAAAGTCCCATCAACAACTAAAAAAATATTCAAAACAAATAAACAAAAAACTCTTCAAGGTCTAAAGCTGCTCTTAAAAACAAAGAAATGGCCAGGCACGATGACACATGCCTGTAATCCCAGTGACTCAAGAGGCTGAGGCAGAAGGATAGCAAGCTGACAGCCTGAACAATTTAGTGAGACCCTGTTTGGAAATAAAAAAATAACAAGGGCTGGGGATGTGGCTCAGTGATAGAGCACTCCTGGGTTCAATCCCCAGTACTAAACTCAAAACAAAGACCTCAAAACCAAACCCAAACAAATGAACGGACCTGTTTCAGGGGCCTGTGCATTTCTAGCTCCTTCCTGTGCTTCCAGGACCACTAGGTCTGGCCTCTACCTGGTGCACCAGCATCTTCTAGGGCCCCCTCGTCTCTTCCTCTCTGCACACAGCCCTTTCTGGAGGTGGTTGCTCACCTGGCATATACTCCTTCCACAGAGCGCCGCTCCAGGTCTGCAGTCATCACTCCTGTCGGCCCGGTCTTCCTCGACCTCTGGCAGGCAAGAGCTGCTGCCCCATGGCAGGTGTCATTGCTTGGCTTTCTCTGCACATAAGACTGGGAATGTGGCACCATGGGCCTTGTAGTATCTGGGATACGATTCTTAACTCAAGATGGTAAATACTGTGGAGCAGCCCATCTGTTTCAGGAACTATTTATTCTAGGGAAGCCACAGTGACTGAATTCCTGCCCTGTAGGGCTTACCGTCCATTGGGGAAGCCAGGGTAGGAGGCAGCATATGGACAGTAAGGAATCTGTGCAGGCTGGGAGGAGTGGTGCAAGCCTGTAATCCCAGCAGCTTGGGAGGTTGAGGCAGGAGGGTCACAAATTCAAGGCCAGCCTTAGAACTTGGCAGGGCACTAAGCAACTTAGTGAGATCCTGTCTCAGTAAAATATAGAAAGGACTGGGGATGTGGCTCAGTGGTTAAGCACCCAAGTTCAATCCCCAGTACACATGGCTAACCACACGTCGCTTACATACTACATACCAGCATCGAGCACACAGCTATGCATACACACACTGAGGCTGGGCATACTTTGCAGTTGACTGGCCAGGAGAGAAAGCCGAGCTGGGTGACTGGGAGGCTCCACCCAGAATCCTACTTCCTAAGCTAATGTGAACTTGGCCTCCTGGTTTTCCAAGGTTCTGTTCTGGGCACTACTGCAAGTCAGGAGATCCATGGTGCTCCTTGAAAGACAAATGAAAGCCTTCGGAGTGAACAGAAGAGGGTAAGCATTGTGCAGCTGCTTTCAAGGCCTCACAAACCCAGCAGCAGAGGGCTGCTCAGGTGCCTTCTGAGCTGTCTCCAGGAACTGTGTCCACCCCCACCCTCCACACCATCCCACCTGCCCTGTAGGCAGTCTTTTTGTGTGTGTGTGTGTGCAGGGGATTGAATCCAGCACCCTGTGCATGTAAACATATGTTCTACCACTGAGTTGAATCCCAGCCCTACTGTCCTATTAATGACTGCCCAAATAGTCAGGCGTGGTGGTGCATGCTTACAATCCCAACAACTCAGGAGGCCAAGGCAAGAGAATTCCAAGTTGGAGGCCAGCCTTGGTATAAACCCTGTATCAAAAAATAAAAGGGTTGGGCTGGGGATGTGGCTCAAGCGGTAGCGCGCTCGCCTGGCATGCGTGCAGCCTAGGTTCGATCCTCAGCACCACAAACAAACAAAGATGTTGTGTCCGCCGAAAACTAAAAAAAATAAATAAATATTTAAAAATTCTTTCTCTCTCTTTAAAAAAAAAATAAAAAATAAAAGGGGATGTAGCTCAGTGGCAAATCACCCCTGGGTTCAATTATTGTTATATGGGGGGGGGGTGGGGAGCCAGGCATGGTGACATGTGCCTGTAATCTCAGCAGAGGCAGGAGTTCAAAGCCCACCTAGCTGTGTGCAGTGCGCACACCTGTAATCCCAGTGGTTTGGGAGGCTGAGACAGCAGGATCATGAGTTCAAAGCCAGCCTCAGCAAAAATAGAGGCATTAAGCAACTCAGTGAGAGACCCCGTCTCTCTAAATACAAAATAGGGTTGAGGATGTGGTTCAATGGTACAGAGCCCTTGGGTTCAATCCAGTACCAAAAAAAAAAAAAAAAAATCCAAATAATTTCACCTAACACCTAGGTCAAGCTAATGTGACCCACCATCTGTCTCCAAGTCCTTGTCCTAGGGTTGTGAGCTGTCCACACTTCTTCTCTGAAATTTGCTCAGTCTACAACTTGCATGTCAGTATGAAAATCAGGACTGAAGAATGCTTCTGTACCAAACACGGAAGGTCAAAGTGGGAACACTTCTAATATCAGGATGACACAGCAGGGATGACCACTGTGCAGGAGTGGAGAGGGGTGGCTGCTGGTCTGGGAAGGGTGTTCAGGGCTCTCCTCAGCCTCTCACTGGCAGATGTTCCCAATTACTGAGCCAGAAGAGATGCTGCATGTCACAGGAATAAAATTACTATCAGGAGCCATCCACAGTCCCACATGGAGGTAAGGGAGAGGCCATTCCTGGTCCTCTCCTTCCTTAGCACAGCCCAGGATGATGAGAAGCACTAAGGCAAAGGCCTGGCAGTTTTGATTCTGAGGTAGGCATTGTTGAAGCGTCAAGTCACATTCAGGGGCAGCTGCAAGGGCTGTGCTTTTCTATTTTGTGCTGGGAACTGAACCCAGTGATATTTTACCACTGAGCTACATCCCCAGCCCTTTTTATT